AATCACAAGCTCTTGAAAAAGTGTTGAGTTGAAAAAAGGTGTGACATATCAGGTTGAAAGGTCAACAGGAGGCAGGGAAGGGGTAGAAGGGGATTGAAACACAACACTGGAGGGGGTGCAAAGAGGAGGATAGAAGTGAATATTTACTAACAAAAAATTATTAAAAGTGAGCAATATAACTTTATAAAATTGTTTGCCTATCTTTGCGTGCTTACGGACTTTTGTGTTGTTTGTATATGTAGTTTCCGAAACTAATCGTGAATAATTTCTGGTTTCACAAGAAAGAATTTCGGCAGTGTCAAAAGTAATTTCGTGACCTGTTGCTACGTGGAGTTCGGCCAGAATGTTCTATGTATTCGGAGATTCTTTAATGTTCAGAAATGCGTGTTTTTAATTTTGTTTTAGTCTGGCGTGTAAAGACCAAGTCACAATCATTAAAAATAATTTCGTAAACAATATTGGTCGTTTGATCTAAGAGTAAGAGTTCCTTCACTGTACGTGTACTGATTACTCTGTTCACTACTCTTTACTTGACTTTCGTTAAAAAGTCAGTTTTTAATTTAGCATTAAGAGATGATATAAAAGGCAAGAAAATTCAGTCATTCATGAAAGTCTCATAATTGTCTACGTGTTCAGGTTCCACTACGCTTCTCGATCTCTTTATTTGGAGATGTGTATGTTTATTTTTTTTAATGTTATTTCTTCTCGTTCGACCAAAGTCTTTCGAGGGGTTTCGGTTTTCATACTGACATTTTGGGATTTGGGCATTCCTGACAAATTGAGATTAGATACTCTGACTCGTTTAATTCGTTGGTTTGCTTGTAGAAGCAGCTGGATTTATTTTTGATTTTTTTTTGGAGAGGGGGTAGGTTGTGAGGATTGCCCTATGCGAGCAATAGGAAGGGAACGTGAAAGATTCTATTTAGATACGGGATATATTGGTTTAGGGAGGTTTAAGCATGTCTTTGGGAAATTGGATTTGATTCGGCTTGGGATGTTTGCTGTTCGACCTAGGTGAAATTTCAGGGCGGAATGAGATGAAAGGAAGGAAGAATATAAATTATTTGCTACTTTTTAATGTGTTCGAGCACTGTTTCCATTTGGAGTTCTCTGTGAATTTGTGTTAGGTATAACCATGGAGCTTTATTGATTTTCTGAGGACTTTATTTGGACATTTGCATTTTTTGTATAGTGGTGGAAGCAGCGTTTCCCCACACTGGGCAAGCATAAGTTAGTGTGGGTAGGTGTATGTTTATGAATAATTTCTTGAGAAGAATGTTTAGCAATAAGGATTTGCTTAGCTTTAGATAAGTTGAAAGGATAAAAATTAGGAGAAGATAACTTCATTGCCCTATCTACCATGTTATAAACAGTTGACTTCTTAAAGAATAACTAATTTTAGAATAGTAAATTAAAGTAAGACCACAGAGTGTAGGTTTCGTGTACCAGGATGTTTAGAATTTATGATATCCTCTAATTAATCCACAAAATTAATTTTACGATTTGTTTCTTTTTCGATAATAATCTTAGAGTGCTAAGAGTTGAATGTAAGAAAATAGTTTCAATATCATCGACATCGATTTGAAAATAGCAAGAAAATGTATCGAGTCAATAGCTTTTGCACTTTTGCATCTCCTCCTCTGTTTTAATAATTAACACTTATCTAAACACGTTCTTTTATTTTGATCTAACGTGCACATGTATTCTTAATCTTCGTAACCCTTAACAATGTATACATTGTCAACACTGTCAACAATGTCACACATTGTTTTTAACTGTTTTTGACGTTAAATAAATAAACAAACTATGGAAACGTTAGAATCTACAGTGTTTCAAGGTAAAACCTGTGTTTTCGGCAGCATGAGGGAATATTTGCTATCAGGGCTAGTCAATGTATCGTCCATTTGCCTCATTCCAGTAAAGTGAAGTCATGCGTGAACTAATTAATAGCGTTTCGTGTTTCGTTCTCTGCTAGGCGAGGTTAAGGTCTGTCGTGGAATTCGCAATTAACCCGCGTTAACTGAGCAACAGAACATGCCAAAGAATACGACGCGCGATCGTTGACGTCACTCCGGTCACCACGAACTGAAAGAGTACTGATTGCACTGGAAACCACACACTATTTCCAAGGCGTTCGTAATTGTGAATGAAGGAACAATACATTTCAATATTTATAAAGAAACAGTAGCAATGGAAATTAATGGCTTATTTGCCATCTGCTTGAAAACCTCACGGGCATCTCGCACGGGAGAAAGGATGTGATAGGGATTTTCATGGAAGAGGCGAGTTTTAATGAAATACGGTTTCCGTATGCGAAGGATCAGAAAGTCAGAAAGGAATCTGTTGGATTTTTAATCCATAGACTTTTTATTAAATTAAGGAATAACGTTAGAAAATATTTTAAAGAGAAAGTTAAATGATCAGTCATAATTTACATAACCCAAAATTATAACGAAACTCAAAAATGTTACGAAGATCTAATAATATTTACATTGGTAGGGAAAACAATTTTGCGTCTAAGGTTTTGAAACAATCTAGAGTAGTTTTAGCGACTTCTGAGTAAATAACAATTTTATAAAATATAAAATATTCAACAGACTAAAAGTTCAAGAGAACAGCTGATCCGATCGCACATGCGCGTGATTCCCTTTGATCAACTTCCTTAAAGTGTGTACACGTGCGCTTTCCTTTCTTGCCCATCCTGATCCCACTTCCTCTCTTAGGGTAGAATGAATCCTTGATCTCCAGAATTCGCGTTGGGAAAAAAATACCATTTACGTATCTAAATTTACTTCATTATTATATGAACGAAAACGCCTCTTGGTAAACATCCAATTCAATTCACTAAAATTTCAGCAGAAAATTCATCAGAAGAAATCAATTAAATAGGTTGCAGATAGTTTCGGCCAAACAAGAATCTGAGCTCAGTAAGAGTGCACTAGCATTAGAGAACTGAAGTTTCCTTTACAAAAATTTCTAATGTTTTATTAAATATACTACCTTTCAACGAGAAGTTTGAATCTTTTGTAATGTTTTGCATGTCATCTAAACGTAATGATTTTGAGAGTAATGTCTAGCGCAGTTGAAAGCAATATGATCACATTCAGTGGGTTTCGTTAGGCCGAATCAGACGTCCGTTCGCGTGGGAATTTTTCTCCGGCTGAGCACAGGTCCATTGGGAAGCACTCGGTAAACTTGAGGCCGGTCAGTGGCACATCCTTCTTCCCCCTATAGTATAATTCCTCCGATTTCCAAAGATTCCAGCAGGAATGCGAGTTCGCGGATATGAGACCAAAACTCACGGTGGTAGAGGAGGGCAGCGCGAGAAGAGGAAAGTAGGCTCCATCTCAGTTTACGCATTTAGTGGCCAAGAAATGAGTATTATTTTCGACAAACAACTCAAGCATCATAATACGTTTAGTCAATTAGAAGATCCGTCCATACCACCACAGTTTTGGAACATCTGTTCAAAACTGTGTCATGAGCATATTATTGCAAATAACAAGCAAGGTCATTCTTTCAAAAATGTGAGGTCTGACGGACGCGTTTCGTTATGAAGGGAAATGTTGGCGACACTTCAGTCATCACGTTTAATTCGTGCAATGGGAAATGAGAGATTATTAAAAGCCACACTAATGCAGTTTTGAGATACAGCTCATATTTTTAATGCTTGGAGGATAAGGTAATATTCCTGTAGGTTCCCATAAGAAATTGTATTATTTCACAACAGAGAAGTCAAACAAAACTTTGGGGGAAAATGAGTTAATATGTCTGAAAATTATTTGGCAAGAAACAGTTAAAGTATATCGTGCTATGGGGAGAAGAGAGACACTAATAATAATAATAATAATAATAATAATAATAATAATAATAATAATAACAACAACAACATCAGACCTTACACCACGAATCACACGATAGCGGCAAACAAACCAGATATTGTTATCCTGGATTTGGAGAAAAAACCGTGTCTACTTGTAGATGTTGCTGTGCCTTGCGATCAAAACGTCGAAACCAAGGAGGCAGAGAAACGTCTTAAATACAAGTGTTTGGAAATCTAGATCAGCCGAATGTGGTTCATAAAAGCACAGGTGGTACCGATAGTCATCGGAGCTCTGAGATTAGTTCCGCAAAATTTGTGTAAGAACATGGCTTAACTCCTAGATCATTCAAAAGACTGGCAGAAGCAAGAAATTGCTTTATTTGAAATAGCCTACATTTTGCGCAGTGTTGAAGAGGCACTGACAGTCACTGGATCTGCTCTTGAGGTAGCTGGTTGCAACCGGGAATAAATTTTATATTCAGTCAACTTATAACATCCTAGTCGTGATGTAGATTAATAATAATAATAATAATAATAATAATAATAATAGAACTTGTAAAACGCCTTGCTACACCAATTATATTATATTTCTAGCATATTTGAAATACTTGGTACTACCTAATCTTGCAAATAATAGCAACATCCAAACTCTGTATTTCACAAGACTAAGAGGACGAAAAGTTTCGGTTTGCCATGATTCTCCCGTTTGTGGGCAAACAAAATCTATTCATTTTCAATTCAAATATAACCAAAAAGTATTTTTGATACAAGTTAGTAAAAAAACAACAGCGCGAACTTTTTCAAGTCTTCTCATTGTCTCCGTAATAATAATAATAATAATAATAATAATAATAATAATAATAATAATAATAATAATAATAATGGATGTAAAAAGCTGCACCATATTATACATCCGACAAATTTCAACGACGATACATCCGACAAATTTGAAATTCTTAATATTACTTAATATTCTTGCAAATAAAAACAAAACAAACAAAAAATCATTCCAAATTCTGCAATTCGGAAGACTAAGCGAACGAAAAGTTTCGGTTAGCCACGCTTCTCCTCACATGTAACAATTTGCCCACAAAAAACCTATTCATTTCTAATTAAAATAAATTTTCACTAAAAGGGTATTTTGGGCGCACGTCAATAGTTACACAGAGCCCAACAGATCGACTCTGAGCGCGGAGAAAGCCCAGAACGCCCTTCCAAAGCGTTCGCAGAGGCCGTCGCGCCGGCGACCAAGTCAATTGGCGCCCGCCAACAAACGGCGCTCGTCGCTTGTTGTTCGAGTAGGAGGGGGCGGCGCGCACTCCGCGCCCTCGCGTCGCCGCGCTGACTCTCGCCATGGCCGGAGACGGCCAGGAGGCGCCGCAGGACAAGAGCCTGCAGGACCAACTGCTGGACGCGCTGCTGCAGGGCGAGCTGCAGGTAAGCCTTTCATTGCATTTCGTTTACTTTCGTAAAAAAAAAAAGGTAATAACTGTAATAGTGTTCGCAATGATACGCGACGAACACTCAAATTGCAGCTTACAGGAACTTCAGAAATGTTTGTATTTACTAGGCTGTCCGGGTGACGCCGCGTCCATGGCGAAGGTGTCGACGTTTCGGTCCCCATTCCTGCGACCATCAGGGCGTAATGTGAGGAAAGTAGGAGGGTATTTACTAGGCTGTCCGGGTGACGCCACGTCCATGGCGAAGGTGCAGACGTTTCGGTCGCCATTCTGCGACCTTCCTCAGGGCGTAATGCTGATGAAAGTCGCAGAATGGCGACCGAAACGTCGGCACCTTCGCCATGGACGCGGCGTCACCCGGACAGCCTAGTAAATACTGACTCCGACCGCGGAAGCCTACGCTCTCCAGAAATGTTGACACAGCACCGTGTGCCTGATTCGTTGTGTATTTCAAAAGGGCTTAATCCCGGATCAGTTCTGCGCGAACAGTGAATAAAGGAATGCTTCGACATTCGTCTGGAAGTGGGGTGGAAAACGAAATCTCCGAAACCTCCAAACACAGGAAGGAGGTGGATAATCTGTGCACGTTTCCTTCACTTTCAGTTTGGTTGTTTGATTAGTGATTCCAGGCGCGTCAACGGATATTGTCGTTAGTCCCGTAAATGTAGTGCATGTTTTTATCGCAAAGGGACGGTGATATTTCCCTGCGCCGACCTACACGTCGGCTTGAGGGGGGTTTCTCGTACCAGGTATTTCCCACTAGCGGGGCACCGCTCCAGCTGACACTGTGCGTCGGTTGCTCAAAACGTATAGACTAGCACAGCTCACACTGTGCTTTGTTCTCAAGACGTATAGATTAGGGCATGGACATTTCTTTACCAGAGATGATCCGATGAATCTTTGATGAAAGTCATTTTTTTTACAGATTCGTTAATCATATTTGAGGGTGCCCAAAAGATGTAAGCTTAACAAGAGAATTGAAGAATCCAGTTACTCTAGAAATGTTGACACAGTGTGCCAGATTCATTGTGTATTTCAAAATGGGCTTAACCCAAGATCAATTCTATATACATAGAGGGATGTTTCGGCATTCTTCTGGAAGTGAAGTGGTAAAGGAAATCTCGAAAACCACCAAAAACAACAGTTGAACAACGAACTGGATACCTGCGGGAGCCAGAAACACACTTTTTGCAAATGTTTCCATCCGATATTGAACCTGCAATTTCTCAGTCTTCAGCACTCTCGATAGACAGGCACCGCATTAACCATACAGTTGCCAATGCTAGATACCTGGACTGTTTCACAAGCGTAAGGCTTCAACTCCGGTATATACGATTCCAACCCCTCTTTCCTTACACACCACGTCGGCATGAAGGTAAAAATGTTACCGAATCGTTTTTAAATACGAGGGTTGGGGCAGAAGTCATGGCAACTATTATATTTTCTAAAAGATATGTTATCGGATCGCACAATTTTATTTGTAATGTGAAAGAAATGATTCAGTAGGGTGTGTTCACATCAACAGATGGCTCTGTGAGTGTCTCAATTAGCTCAGAGAGCAACGCGAAAAAAATCTGTTGTTCTACTACGTGCGAGATGAAAGTACGTAATATGATTCCATCAGTGCTGATACAAGATAGCTGTTCTCTAAGGTCAAATGCCTAATAAGTTCACAGAGACTTAGTGGAAGCTGTTGGGAATATGCCCTTCAATACCTGACAGTCGCGAGATGCGCAGGAACATTTGTACGAGGGCGCGAAGCAACAAGTGATCAGCAAGCAACGCCCGTGACAACCTTCGAGTGTCCAGACCGACGTGTCACGTGAGAAAATCGAGCCAAAAACTGTCATTTCAAATACAAGAATAAATACGAGAAATACAATTTTGACGTGTGCTCAAACCCACTTACTTTAAACCTTGTTCTTTCAGTGTATATTTCACATATTACACCCCAGCTGGTATTTTAAAAAAAATCCATGAATTATTTGCCCCAATCCTCGTAGAATTTAAGATACTGCACGCTCCATCCATTCCACGGAATGGGAATGCTTAAAAGGGACCGCCGAAAATGTAACAGAAGGTCTCAAACGATCTCATTTTGTAGATTATGAGGGCGTGAAGACCATAAAGGGGGGGGGCACCCTCCCTGGCCAGTCACGTGATGTTTCCATTTGCTGGGCCATAATCCACTCACCGAACTGAACGGGTACGGAGGAAAGAAAACTGTTCTTCTGACTCTTTCAGAGGTAGACAAACGATTTGCATTCGCATCCAAAAAGAGACTGTTCCCCTCCCCCGCTGTTAGCAGTTGTTAAATTTGTGTGGGCGTGGCCCCACGCTGTTCGGTTGCCGGTTGTCGAGCGAAACCGTCTCTTAGTGAAAGGATGGGAGAGGTATTGTCTGCGATGTTCTGTAGTTGTAGTAGCAGCAACAGTATTACACTGCTCAAGGCAAACGATAAATCCCGAAGACACCAGACTGCCTGTTACACTGTAAACGATAATAAACATTATACTGCATATTATAATTATTGCAGCTTAATGCATAATTAAATTTCACTTAATGCATAATAATTATTTCAGTGTTATTATGTGTCAGTATTCAGTTCAGTGTCAGTATTACAAAAGTGTTTTTTTGTTGTTGTTTTTTTTTTCAGCCGCAAACAGCCAGTTATGTTGAGTAACCTTTTTGTCAAACGCTTGCAGGACTTCCGGCGGCTGCTGGCGCACCCGCGCGTCAACCCCAACCACCGGTACGGCAAGCCGCACTTCGGCACGTGCCTAGAGCTGGCATGCCGGCAGCGCGGCCGCCACGACTTCGTCCGCGAGCTGCTGGCCAAGGTGAAGCCCAACATCAACAAGATCTTCCCGGAGCCCCTGCACTACGCGGCGGGGCGCGGCAACGCGGACGCCTTGGAGCTCCTGCTGCACGACAAGCGCACCAGGGTCAACGCGCAGGTGGGGCTTCCGATCACGTTGAGTCATACTGGGCGCGTCAACTCACTAGATCATTAGTCCTGGAAGTGAGTGTGTGTTGTTTTTTACTCGGAAGGTGGATCACATTGAGTGATACTGGGCGCGTCAACTGACGAGGTCATTAGTCCCGTAAGTGTAGTGTGTGTTATTTTTCACTCGGAAGGTGGATCACATTGAGCGATACTGGGCGCGTCAACTGATTAGGTCATTAGTCCCGTAAGTGTAGTGTGTGTTGTTCTTTACTCGGAAGGTGGATCACATTGAGTAATACTGGGCGCGTCAACTGACTAGGCCATTAGTCCCGTAAGTGTAGTGTGTGTTGCTTTTTACTCGGGAGGTGGCGGTGATATTTCCCTGTTGTATGGCGAGACCTACCGGCGCCGACCTACTGTCGGCTAGAAAGGTTTTCCCCAACCAGGTATCTCCCACCAACAGGGCACCAGCCGGAACCAGCTCGACGCTCCCGACCGGTCTCTCGGCATGTGTGGTAGTGTAGTGCGGGTAAATGTAATCGTGTTTAAGAAGGAAGGATAAGTCAAGAAAGAGGAAGGAAAGAGCGTTCGCAGTCCGTGACCTATTTTTTAGAGTACTGTTCCGGCGTTCTCCTGGTGTTGATCGGAGAAATCATGGAAAATCGCCGATCACTGAATCCCACTTAGCTGACAACTTAGTGTCCTGCCACCGGCGGGAATCAAACCTAGGACGTCCGGGTCAGAAACACTGACATCGGTTTATTCCCTGAGCCACTTCTCCCGGTCTCCCAAGCAGGAAACCGTATCCACTCATTCGCCTCAATTGGTTGATTGAACATTTTGAGTTTCCGAGGGCGTCTACGGCTTTAGTCACTATTACCGTAAGTGTAGTGCATGTTTTTGTCAGGGTGAGCCTAGCTGAATGGTGAGATCCGGCGCCGCCCTAGATGTCGGTAACTACTTGGCTATTCGGGAGACGCCGTGTCCTAGGCACAGATGCCAGCGTTTCGGCCGCTATTCTGCAAACTTCCTCAGGTCGAAATGGGGAAGAGATGTTCCAGAGGAAGACTGCAGTGCACTGCAGTGACATCAGACGATGCTCTGAGGTACTTCAGCGTCTCGATTGGTGTACCGCAAGGGTCTAACCTTGAGTGTGGGACGGTTGCTAGAAAGATAGTACGGTAATTTCTCGATCAAAATATGCTATCCTTGGTCCTTTCAATTCCAAAATAAACAAATTAACTAATTTTAAATAATTATTCCAGTGTAGATAAAAAGGTTTCCCCCCAAATATTATTATTATTATTATTATTATTATTATTATTATTATTATTATTATTATAACAATATGATGTCACAATTGAGGGTTTACGAATATTCATAATGATTGATATTCAGCTGCATGTCCCATTTAATATTAACATTGCATTCATGAATTAATACCACAAACATCGTGCGTTGTTGACTCAGTTCGTGTGCTTTCTTCCCACAGATATGGCTCTTCGATTAAGCAAAGATTGTATATATCAAATGAAAAAAATACTATCTAGTAAATGTTTATAATTAATTATTCTGAGAGAAAACAGAAACAATAAAGCGATGTGTACTTTGGCTACAAGTATCCATTTAAGTGTTCTTCATTTAATTAATAATATTTTGTGACAATATAGGAAATAGAATTCTCAAAAATTAATAGTGCACTTTTTAGTTATTGAGTTCATAACATCTTATTTAAAAGAGTATGATAATTTTAAATGAAGTGGAAAAAACAATTATTTGCCAGGATCGCACCATGGCCTCATACAGAATTTCAGTAATTCTTCATGAAAGGTGCAAGAGTTAAATATAGTTCAGCAGAAACTGATGGTTTCCGCAACTAAACAAGGAAATTCTGATTTCCGCATGTCCGTTAGAATGATGTCAGGATGTTCAAATATGTTCAATAACGAAATAAGGAAATGCTTTCTTTTTCTGCTTACGAATCGCAGAGTTTACCCGAGATATCTGCGCATTCGACTTCCGTAAACCTTTTTTGTTTCGGGAAGGAGTTTTTTAGTCACTTTCGATTTAGAAAACAGGTGTGCATTCGGAGCAACGTAATGAAAGCTGAAGCCAAAATAAACACGTTTTTCTCAGAATTTATTAAAGGTCACATACCGTTGTGGTTTTCACCCATTCTAAAAACAAGTTTAGATTACAAGTTCTTCAAAAAAGGAAGTGTCCATCTGGGTCTCCGCGGAAAGGGCTGCAAGTACCGAAAATGTTCAAAATTCATAAAATATGAGCCACACCTCAAAACTGAAAATAATAACATAAAATTACAAAACTGATTGCAATATAGATAATCCTATCATTATGGGTCCGGTGAAAATTGGCCGTTTATAAATGCGACTGCTTAATAAAGGTGATGAGAAAGTGCATATCAAGACTGAATGTTCTAGTGATTATGAAATAAAGGGTGCCTTCCTTGGAATTTTTCACGTTTTCGCTTTCTTTTCAATTTTTTCAAGCCTTCTTTTTTGTATACATGTAAAGTATGCACAAGAATATATGAATGGGTGAAAACTAGAACGTTATAAGTGACATTTTATAAATTCAGAGAAATCTTTTTAAGTCAATATTACTGTAAAGTCAAGGTGCTTATTTTTTCTTTTTCTTTTCTTTACGTCAAAAACAGTTAAAAACTGTGTGTGACGTGCTATGAGGAGAAGTTAATGCTTTGTTTCATCATTAATTGTTCCTGTTCAATAATTAATCACGGCATTTCAATTGTTCATTAAAAAAACGAAAATGCATTTTTACTAAAGTATAGTCCAAAATAAACACGTTTTTCTCAGAATTTATTAAAGGTCACATACCGTTGTGGTTTTCACCCATTCTAAAAACAAGTTTGTACAAGTATACTTGTAAAAAGTATGCTGCAGGCCAACAATAACACTCCGTTTTGGTCATAGTATCGTATGTATGTATGTATTTAGAAATGCATTTTCAGTTAACACGTTGACTGCCATGTAAGTCCAAAGCGGTCTCACAGGCTCTGTGGCCTCCTGCGGAGTGACGCCACACCGGACTCGCAGTACCCCAATTCCATTCAAGCCGCGTGGTTCCACAGGGGATGCACAGATCTGTGTTATGTTATGGGTTAAATAACGGACGGCCTGCCAGACACATTTTAACTCTTGGCCTGAGGAATTTGTTAGTCAATTACCTAATCTTACGTATTTATTTTACTGTTACTCTTGACATATCTTGCGCATGTAATAAGACATCGTAAAAGTACTAGGAACGATTGGATTTCGGAGGAAAAAACATATCCACAACCAACTTCCGATACCACTTTATTGCTTTGAAGAATTCCTCCCTTAAGTAGAATATAATTATTTGTAATGTTTAGTTCTTTGTCTGAATCTCGAACTGCTTTCCAAATCTTTCCCAATCTTTTCAAAGAAAGAAACATACACATCATTGATGGGCTGCTTACTATCTACTTTTTCTTTACGTGGTCTTTTTGGCTTTTCTACACATTCTCATTCGTATCACTTCCTTCCTTGGAACTAACTTGTTTCTATGACGAAAAACCAAATAGGTCACGTCCCTCTTCACTTGATAATACTTCTTGCCGCAATTCTTGCAAACGTCTTTGTTCTTGTTCATCAGACATATCGAAATCACAGGCGATTATGCGAAGACGAGACTAGCCGCTTTCAACAATATGTCAAAAAGCGTATTTCAAAAAGTATGCGCGCGCATCTTACTGTTCTAAGAAAGCCTTCATTGTAAAGTAATAGGTAGTGACACATTGGTCTGACAAGGCTTCTGCGACAAAATTTCGTGTTACAGGCCGCGAGATGCTAATTGTCTCCACGAACTACAAGTGTCCAAACTCAAGTAAAAATGCACATTTAAGGTAAAATATGAATACAACTATATTATTGTCCAAATTAGAAATCAAAATTATTTTAAAAAATGGTCTGGCCGGTAGGAGATATTTTTGCGATGTTTATTTGGCAGTTAACGTGAGATGTTTAGGTAAGTCTTAAGGCCGTTTCCGTTTTGCCAAAGAATGCCAAGTCACATACTTTCATAAGTACTTTTCAACAAATTTAATTATTTAGCGATGCCGCCAAGGACAAGGAGAGTAGTAGAATCAAGTAGAAATGTTCTTCTTTTGCTTTTCATATTAAATCTTAATTTGTGACATTTTTTTATCCATGCTAATAAGACTAATTGTATAATACTGGCTTGTTCCCTGCGTAGTAATATTCTTTCCACAACTAGATCGCAGCACCAAACAGTGATTGAGTATTTCATACTATGTTAAAACACGATTGTTCGGTAATTATTATAATGTAATACATCTTTTATTATAAATAATTTCAAAATTTCATTCATTGCATATCACATTTAAATACCAAAAGTAATATAACATAAAAAATACAATAAATGAAACTTATCAACAGAAGTAAAATATCATTGGGGATGTAAGAATAATCGGCAATGTTTATCAAAAGTGAAGGTTAAGTTAGTAGCGATGTCATTTTTATTTACTCCAAATTAAGACAATAAATCTCAAAAACGTTGCTTTGAACTAAAAAAAAACAAAACATTTGAACGCCTACGGTACATCGGAGTCTTCTTCTGTCTTTTCCCCTTCGAATTCCGATAAGTCTATCTAAACGATTACTGCAAAGCATGATTTTGTTTAGTATTTCCATGATCCACGTCAGTCTTCAAAGCCACAAGAAACTAAACAGGAAGGACGACTTAATCGCATTGAATAAGGAAAATTACGAACAAGTCATGGAAGTATTGCGTCAGTTTGTACGCGGTTTCCTATAACTTCTCTTCAATAAAGAGTAAAAGTTCAGTTAGTAAAGTCAAAATAAAGATAGTTCTCTTTCTTTTCGGTCTGCGACACGTTTCCGTTTGGCGCGATCCTCTTTCTGCCTGCCATTTATCAGCTCAGTCTACCGTACTATGTATGCTGACTGATGCTCGGATGAAAGGGGAAAGCAAATCAATATATCTATCTAGCTCTCTGATCACAGACGCATATAATTTATGTGGTTGTGTGTGCTACTGTCTTCGTTACTCCTAGTTTGCTTATTTTTGTGGTACCTTCATGTCGGCTCGTAGGGTTTCCTCCAGCGCTACTCCACCCTGGGCGCAAGCTCCCGAATAATTTCCCGATTGTGGTAGTGTAGTGCATTTAGTGTAAGAGGGTGTTTGTATGTGACGGAAGAGGAGGAGACAAGAATGAGAGCGGTAATTGGAATGAAACTGAATGAAAAAGGAATTGGTTTGAGTTCCGTAACAGTATAGGACCAACATCAACGTCAGGGATTGGGTTGTGAGCATGTCCTGGGAATTCTGACAATCTTCATTAGCCATTCAAAAAATTCTTCACAATTGATTGATTGAATATTTCGTGTTTCCGGACGCGTCAACTGCTATGATTAATTAAAATGTGCACTACAATTACTTCCATTAGTGTAGTGCACGTTATCACAGTCGGTGGCGGTGTTCTTCCCCCGTTGGATGGTGGGTTCCGGTGCCGACGTGCACGTTGGCTTGCAGGGTTTTCCCCACCCAAGTATCTCCCACCAGCGGGGCACCACGTCAGCCGCGACACGTTCTAAACTCTCGACATATGTGATAATATAGTTGACGTAAGTGTGTGAAAGGAAGGGGTGAGGATAGGACAAGAAAGAGGATCGCGCTCGGTCCGTGGCTCTTTTGTTAGGGTACTGCTCCGACATTTGCCTGGTGTTGATCGGAGAAACTACGGAAAACTACCGATCAGAGCAGCCGGCCGGTAGAATTCTCCTCCAGACAGCGGCTGAATTTGACGAATGGCTATGTAGCAGTCAACGCGGTGCTGCCAAGAACACTTCGCCCCCGTCAGCAACTCCACTGATGATGCCTGCCACAGTTGCAGGCAAAAGTATGGACCAGTCTCCGTTGGACCACGGCCTACAAACCCGGAAACATCTAATTATGTAGCTAGTGTTGAAAATCCATCAGCGTCAGGTCTGGAACCTTGGGCTTCTCAGTCAGAAACGGGATGTCCCGAGCCAAGAGAGCCGATTTGCCTCCTCGTTGAGTGTTTGTGTCCCGTTTGCAGGACAGCGCGGGGCGGACGGCGCTGCACTATGTCGCCAAGAGCTTCCCGACGGGGGAGGAGTCCGCCGACTACGAGCGCTGCCTGGCGCTGCTGCTGGCGCACCCCGGCGTGGACGCCAACCGCGCCAACCACAAGGGCTTCACGCCCATCCACGAGGCGGCGCTGCAGGCCGGCAAGCACGCCGTCCAGGCCTTCCTGCTGCACGCCAAGCAGGACCTGGACCTGGACTCGGCGCGCGGCCACGGACGCACCGCCCGCCAGGCCATCGTCGAGCGCTTCCCGGAGCTCAAGGTGCGTCTCGCCAACGCCACTCGCCCCTTCGGTCATTGCCTCCGGGGCCGGCAACCGCTACGACCGTTAGTCCCGTCAAGTGCAGGGCAGGATACACACCGGCAGATGGCGGTCTACTCAGGGGCTTGGGGCAGTTCATCCTTAATTTCAAATAAAAAATTCCCTTCTCCCTCAATTCGCAAACGGAATTTATTTCTCCATGAATCGGAAACTTCTTGTAAATTCTTGTTTGATTAGAGATAAATACATTTTTTTAAAAAAATTTCTGTTGAGTGAATAGAAATTTGAGGCCCACAATTAAGTCGGGACTTGAGGCAAAGTTGCCCCCTCTCCCCCTCTTCTGGTCGCGCCTGGCTTAGTCCGGCGCACTGAGTTTTGCTCGTTCTGGATGGATGTAATTGGGTGTGTAAGGATGTAATTGATGAAAATACGTTCAAGGTTAAACAAATATCCCTCTTAATATGATTTCAATATGGTCTTATTCTTTCCATTGTTTGTAGTATGTAGTAAAGTGCATATTATCGGGATAAATGTAATTGTACTTGTAATATTTCAATCGTGGAATTACATTTATGACTTTAGACTTCATCTTTATCTAGTTTCCAGCCTTTTTCGAAACGTAAGTTTTGGCGTTCCATTTCGCGCATGAATTTCCTGCATATTATATCTTAGTCAAGCGGATTAGGGGTGGGGGGCACGGGGCCACTGTTGGTCCTCACCCCCCCCCCCAAGACCCAGTGTTTTTGTTGGTCGCCTTCATTTATTTGGCAAAATTGATTTAAATATGTATGTGACATCTATAATTATTTTAAAAAAATAATATTTTACAGTATCATATGTACATTACAAACAGAAAATACAATAAAAAATTTGTTTATTATTTAACAAAAATTTGATGATGATAAAAAAAAAAAAAAAGAATGGCTGAATCCATCCCTACTCTCAGTACTGGTGCACTACTAGTCAAGTGAGAAATCATATTACAAATTTGTCAATTTAGTAACAAGTATTTTAAATAGTGAAATGTTGGGCAGGTTCAGGAAGAGATTATCCAATTTAATATCATATTTTTTCCACTTACTTTGATAATTGTATTTTTTTTTTGTTTCAAACCTGATAAAGAAATACTGAAGATATTTAAAAACCAATTATTCATGCATTGTCTCTTTTTGCTGCTAAATAAAAATATTTCAGTTGAAAGATTATTGTCTTCTAGGAATTTTTATATAAATGTGTGAGACTGTATTGTCTCACAGATAACTTTTCATCTCATAAATCTAAACATGAGACCATATGGTCTCACATAAGATAAATGAAGAGGTAAGTCCATATTAGTGCCTTAGATATAAAAACATGATTTATTTCTTCAACAAAATAGTTGTGTTTTGTAGGCAACAGTGGAATAGTTACTGAAAAATGGCTTGGCAGTCAACATTTTAAGGATCTAGGGGGTACTGATTTTCAGATATGCACTATCGGACACTCACTTTGTAAATGTCCTATACATATCTGCGTGTGCATTGCTTAAAACAAGAGGTGGCAACCAGGAGGAAGTTGCCTTTTCCATTAAATGTTTTTATTTTTCTATAATATATTTTACTATTAGGTTTAAATAAATAAAACATATTACAAGGAGAATAAAATTACAACTTTAATGATGCAATTAATAAATTCAACTTATTTGTGTGTTTAACCATTTACAAGTTGTTTTGGAGAGATCCTTCCCCAAATGTCATGTATCAATTCACCAAAATGTCAGCTTAAAGAAAGGGGAAATCAGGAATTAAATATTTTATTATGTAGGGTTATATCAACACATAGTCTCACAAAATAGTTAACCATCCAAAGTTAATAATTTTCTCACTTGAAAGTAAAGCTCCAGGAATCAAAAGTAGAAGTTATTTCATCAGTGTTCATTGTGATTATTTAACTTTTGGACTTCTTAAACAATTTCCACATTGTTTAATATGAGAACCTTAGGAGAGTAAATTAATATTTTATCTGAGTCATATATTTTTATTGACAGTACTTCAATTTTTGCACCATCTAAATCTGTGTGAATTGATTCAGATTGTTTGAACTGTTTCTAAATAACATACCTTTTATTTGGACAATTTGTTGTGATCCACAATCTAAGCAAGCAATTATATAATACAATAAATCTGATTTTCAATTTTCAGAATTCACTTCCTGAGAATCAAAAGGACATCACATGTGGCCGTCGTGATCCCCAGAGCAGACTTATTGTAGAGTTACAGGAGCGCAATCTGGAGAACTTTTGCCAATTGCTTCTTCAGGTAGATACAGAAGGCAGCATCCTGGCTGATCCAAACTACCAGTACGGCAAACCCATCAATGCAACTTGCTTGGAACTTGCAAGTAAAGAACAAGATTCTGAAGAATTTATCAAAGCACTTTTGAGAGCAGGGGCAGACCCAAATGTTGTCAATCCTCTGACTGAAAAATCACCCATTCATGTTGCTTCTGAAAATGCTAATGCTGGGGCTCTAAAAATTTTGATAGATCACAAAACTACCAACATAAATTCCACAGATTCTCATGGTAGAACTGCATTACATTACATTGCCAGTAGAAGAATTGGAGAAGACAAAAGAGACCAAGATTGTTTATCAATGCTTCTTGCTCATCCTGATGTGAATATTAACATAGCTGATAATGATGGAGTGACACCAATTTTATCTGCAGCATTGTCTGACAATAGAGCATGTGTAGAGACTATGTTGAAATTAAAGGCAGAATTTATTGATCTCCATAATGTTAAATTGAATGGTGAAAAAACTGTTTGGAATGTCATAACAGAGATATATCCTGACCTTTCACATCTTTTACCAAATTATTCATATAGTGTCTATGCATTGCAGCCAACTGTTCATTCACAGCTGATTCAACATCTTCATAAGCGTCAAACGAAAGAATTCATTGAAAAAATAACGTTACATAATAGAGAAAATGAGTATGTAAATGATGGTGATGGGAGTTATACATTTTTGCAGTATGCTTGTAAACATGGCCTGCATGATGTAGTTGAGATTTTACTTAAAAATGGAGCAGATCCTAATCAAACATTAGAAAATAATAGATGGCCACCAATTGTAATATCCTGCAGCAGGCGACACCACAATATTCTTATGCTGTTTCTTAATTTACCTAGCAACAGGAAACTTGACATAGATGCAACAGACATGAAAGGCAACACAGCTTTACATTATGCAGCAAAACATGGTGATCTTAATTCTGTTCTTGCCTTGCTCAGTCACGGTGCCAATATTGAGGTCAAGAACATATTTGATAAGCCTCCACTTCCAGCCAAAGCTGTAGAAAACTTATTAAATCAATGTTTAAAGGCTGATGGGAAACACTACCCAGAAGAAGACGATTACAAAGTTTTGTTTGATTATGAAATATTAGTACCAAACAAAATACAAACAAGCACTGAAAAAGTCACAAAAAATGATGATTTACCTCTAACAGAGTTGACTGTAGAGGATGAGTGTGAAATTGTCATTCCAAAAAGCTCTTTCTGCCAACTCAATGCAGAAATGGAGTTTTTATTTTACTTAAGCAAGTCTGAGGAACATCGATATCTCCTGAAACATCCTATAATCACCAGCTTCCTTCTCCTCAAGTGGTACAGAGTTCGCTTCTCTTATTATGTGAATTTAATGTTCTACACTTTATATGTTATTTTTCTCAATGCATATATACTTGTAGAAGTAGAAAATGCAGAGAATGATCAAGACTTGTTGATGAACCTTGCAAATGGGTCTCTTCCTGTTCGCACTCAGTTTCTTCTTATCAGTTTAACGATACTGTTGTCATATTTATTAATAAGAGAACTCGTGCAATTCCTTATGTGCCCAGGACAGTATATAAAAAATGCAGAAAATTTATTAGATTGGAGTCTTATTATTTTGACAAGCCTCACTTTATTTGTTAAAATAAGTAACTCAGATTGGAGAAAATCAGTAACTGTAATGACTGTGCTGCTATCATGGGCAGAGCTGGTATTAGTTACAGGCCGTTTGCCCAAACTATCCCGAAATATTCAAATGTTGAAAACAGTCTCATGGACATTTCTACGATTTTTGATTTGGTATTCACTTCTAATTATATCTTTTGGAATCTCATTTTATACATTATTTCATGATGCAGGAGTGGATAAAGAAGGGGAAAATATATTTCAAGATTTGGGAAGAGCTCTTTTCAAAACCTTTATAATGATGACTGGAGAGTTTAATTCAGATGATAAAATACCATTTAAATCTACAAATGTTACAGGCCATATTTTGTTTATGTTATTTGTATTTTTAATTGCTATTGTATTACTTAACTTATTAACAGGTCTTGCTGTTAGTGATACTCAAGCAATCCAAAACAACGCAGATATTCTAAGTGTAATTTCAAGAATTCGCCTAGTGTATGAAATTGAAAGTATGATGTTAGGCTGGCATCACAAGATTTTTCTCTTGGGCATATTTCGACCTTTTGCTTATAGATTGGAAAATTGGGTAAAAGCTATCTCTCTCTTTCCTCCATCTGTACACAATAAACATGTTTGTGTTTTACCAAACAAAGGAAATAACATTATAACACCTCATGAGGATGGGGTAAAATGCAAAATGGATGTAGAGATTTTGGGTGCTGCTATGAACATTATAGGAAGTAGAAACAGAGCTACAGACATAGATCTCATCAAGAACAGGCTAGATGCAATAGAAAAATGTCAATCTGCAAATAGCCAAATACTAAATGTAATACTGACTAAATTGGATGAAATACAGACAAAGTAGATTGTATTCGAATTGCTTTTTATGAATTGGCAGTAAAAAAAAAAATTGTTCGAATTAAAATTTCTGAACATAAAGTTTAAAGGCAGAATGTTGTAGAAAAAAACAAATAGTGAGGTACAAAGGCTTTCAATCCATTAACACATTCTTAAATTTATTTTGCTTTAACATCTTTTTTGTGCTAAAGCTTTTCCTTTTAAAATGTATCATATTTTAAATAATAATGTGAGAATAATTAGAAAAACTAGCAAGTACTTCACATATATTAATACAAAATTTCCTTCTTGTACTTGAATGGATAGTAGTAGTAGTAGTGTGTCATGAGGTCGAGCACGGCCTCTGGTGGTTAACAGATATGCACACCAGTTACAGGATGCCATCTTTTTGAATGGATATAACAGTAAAACTCTCTCAATATTTTTAATGTGAAAATTTGTTCAATGAACATAAACCAAGTTCCTGGAAAACGTGGTAATTCTACTGTATTACACTGTAAAATGTAGAATATTGTGTTATCTATAAAAAGAACAACACTGGTTACCTTAGTCTCCATATTTATCGAGGTTGACTGCAATAACAAATGTAGAATTTTAAAATGATAATCAATAACAATTAACTTTTTGCTTGTTCAGTGTTTGTAATATACCATTTTATATAACATATCATGATCTTTTTCTTATTCATCTACAAGTCATTTTACACCTGATTCTCAGAAATTTTTTTGCAACACAATTGCTGGCAAAATACAACACACCCATAAGAAATGACTTAAAATATCAAGCTTTCTAAAGCAATAGAGGTAGCAAAATTGCCACCATTATGGCAGGGTTACTGAAATGAAAACGTGCTGTGTATTGTAATGCTGCAGCAAAAAACAATGATATTTCAACAAAACATCTCTTTTTGTGTGTCATGGATACTGAAAAAGGGGATATTTCTTTTTCTTTTATATAATAGATTACTTCCTTTAACATGCTGTATAGTCAGAATCCACATTTTGTGGGCCGTTCACACTGAAAAAATAGGTACATGGCAAAATGTCTGCAGGTATCTGCCTGTGGTCAACACTAGCACCGAAACTATTCAGAAGATTTTTTCTAAAATTGTTGTTCCATGTTCAATTTGGTTAAAATGGACCTGTAAATTTGAAGTGGATGTTTTTTTTATTTTGAGATCCTTTAACATTTTCAAAATTTTTTCAAAATCTTTTCAAATTTTTGGGTAGTAAAATTGTGATAGAACCTATCATTTTCCCAATAAAAAATTGTCAGATAAACTTTTCATCACAAATTTTGCAATAAAATTGCTCGTAGTTCTCAATTCTTTCAATAACCAACAATGAATTTTTGTAGGCATAAAGTACAAGTATCTCAAAGTAATTTGGATTTTTAAAATAAAAAAAAAAAACAAGATGCCTTTAGTGACCTTGAAAAATTCTTATTGTGCAATTTTTCTGTTGCTTGATGTCAGTAAATAGGTTTAAAAAAATATTAGACAAGAATTTCTTTGTAGTCTTAGCTTAAAATTTTTTTAAATGCAACACCAGAAAATTTATTAAAATCTTTAAAAAAACCGAATTCTGTTTAGATAAAAAATAATGTTCAAAAAAATTTTGTTTCTTGCTTTAATATCATGCTTAACCCGAAATAATTATTATTTTCCTGATTTCCAACCCTTTCATATTTTGTTGGCTGTTTTGACAAAGAATGTCCCAAGTATTTTAAATCATATGCATTTTGCAATTCAAAACCTAATATATTTTGAGTGTGTATTTAAATTCTTATTTACGAAACATTTTGGTGAAATACAAGTATTTAAATACTAAATTGAAAGTATTTTGCCCAACTCTGATGACAGTCAAAGTATGAACACAGGTTCAAATTTATAGAAAAACATATTTTTCATTTTTAAATTGTTTTGTGCAGGTACTGGGATGGTACAACATTTTACCCAACTTTTAATGAAGATAGAATTACATGGGATTTCATGAATGGGAGAGTCAATTAATCATTATTTTGCAGGGGTTAAAGTTGTTAGCAAAAAAAGTTGAGGAGGGCTTTAAAAATGCTCAATGTTGAGAAAGACTCTTGAACATGAAATTCCACTACAGGGTTTGAAGAATTGTTTGAAGAATTGGTTGTCTCAGAACAACTGGGTATAAGCCAGAAGATCTGGGTTCAAATTCTGGTGGTGATGACAATTTTTTGAACAAATTTAATTAATAAAATTGTCCATACATCTTGGATGTTCATACCTATTTTTATGATAAATTACTAATTATATAAAAAATTTTTCAGGAGAAGAAATTACGTTTGTCGTACATTAAAAACTACCACTGTACTGCTAAATATTTTTGAAAATTTCAAGAAAATACGAAGTCTACTACAATAATTTATTAAGTACCATACAGTAATATATTGGATTGAAAAAGCCAGTTGCATTGTTTTGAAGAGAATACCTGTCCCTGCAAGCCAAATTGTAGCATCTCTAAAATGATGTACACCCTACCTCTTCACCCCATTTGTATCAAGTTATTGTTGTCTGTATCTCTAACTGCAACAATACTTTGTTTTGAAATATTGTTGCATTCAGAGAAAAGAGCTGTACTTAACTACTGAATTATGTAATTAGGGAAAATAATTCTGACTTCTTAGAAATTTGTTAAACCTAAAGGGTTCCAGTTCCAATAATTTTGGAGAGAAGGACTTGATTGTAAGGCAATCGAATCGAGTCCTTCTCTCCAAAATTATTTCATTAAATATTGAAAATATATATATTAAATTTAACAACACATTTTTTTCATGAAATTTCTTCTCTTATATATCTACACAGGGGAAAGAGATGAAAATTTCTACACCTCTTGCAACTATTCTAGTATATATCATTTTTCTACTAAATGTTGCAGGCACAACCTTTATACTGCGATGAGGAGTACTAACGTAACATTGTACAGGAACTAGTATATCCAAGGTATTAGGTAGTGGCAATTTTGTTAGCACAGAATTGACATTATTCTAGTGAAAAATGTAACACAATTACATAATGAACATAAATCTCAAGTTAAATTATAATAACATGACACTATATTGTTTTTTGTTAAAAAAAATTACAAGCCATGAATTCTGGAAGATGTATGCACTATGGGACAAGTCTATTACCCATAAGCATAGAAAATGTAAATAATATTGACACTAGTTATGCAAGTCATTGTTGCTATACAAATAGTCATTTCACATTTGTTTAATTTCATTGGTCAAGCAAGTTGCACAATGAAGTCATGGTGACATAAAATATCTAAAATTAAAAACAAACATCTAATGCAGACTTATCTGCAGGTCTCTCGGTTGATCATAATCTTTTTAAACGTGGTCTTCTCATCAAATGTTCACCGTGGTCATTTGGAGGTTTACGAGATACAGTATACTTTAACAGATTCTCAGTTTTTCAACACATGGTTACATTCACACTACCTTAAACTGCAGATGCTGAGACGAATGCTTTTTTTTACATCGGGGCAATAAATTAAATTTGTTAAGCACTCTTTCCATTAAATTAGTTATTACATCTAATTACTACCAAATAAATTCTGTAGTTTGCAATATAAATATATTTTTATGATAAAGAAGTGAAATTTTCTAGTATTTAACTATTGCTATACAGTTGGTACCTTTATTCATAAATTAAATATGTACTACAGTAAAAAGACACGAAAAGATTCCGAATCGCAAGCAAATGTGCTGGTGACTTCTTCCACGAACAGTTCTACTTTTTTTAATGATAAATAAACCTACAAGATTAAAGAAGTCTATTTAACATTTAAAGACCAAAAATTAGTACTGCTTTTATCACAAGTTAAAAATTTGTAGAACAATATAAATATATATACCAGAGTACAAATAAAAGCATCTCCCATGTTTACTTTTTCGCCCCTTTAAGGAACCCATGAAATATTGCACAATTTAAAATCCCTTGTAAATTTGAGAATTCAGACACAGGTCAACAGGGTTGAAGTGTATTAGCAAAATAATTTGAACTGAAACATTGTTCACTAAGAGATCAAAATGCCAGGCAAGCAATGAAGAGAGAAGTTAAAATCACATGTATAGAAGACACAAGAAGGGAGCTATTTTTAACAAATTTAGAAACTTTGTTGATTTAGCACAGAAATATAAATAAATATCAAAAAAGAGAATTAAAAACGCAGCAAAAAACTTTACCTAATATTCCAGTGCATCATTAATCTACTTAAAAAAAAAAAATAATAGTATGCACATAAACAAGGAGAACACAGGGAATAAAATACAAATGACAAATCTCAAAAGCAAATATTTATTTTTCTTCCAATATCTACAAGCCTTTAAAAACTTCTTTAAGTTGTATAAAAATATTGGTCCCATTTTTGGCAATGTTTATTTACATTCATTTTGTTTTAGCAACAATTTGTTCTCTCAACATCTTCTCTAACTTCCGTTGGTCTTCAGCAAACTTACGAATGCCATCAGAGAGCTTATCAGTTGCCATTTGATCTTCATTCAGTTCCCATCTAAAAGATGCCTCATCCAGTGTAATTTTTTCCAGATCTGATTTTCGAGCTAGCAGTATGAAAACAATAAATGTAAATTAATGGTACACAGGATATAAATACACAATTGTTCAAAACTAATAAATCCACTCTCACCTGATTTCTCAGTCAGTACTTCATAAACTTCATCATTGCTTCCTTCCAGTTCTTGCAGAAGCTTTGGGCTAATAGTAAGGAAGTCGCAACCAGCCAATGCCCGTATTTCTCCTGTTTCAAGATTGAATTATGAAGTTTTCAGATCTTTCTCAAAGGGATTATGAGACTAACACACTGGATTTAACTTATACCATATGAAGGGATTCGGGAATTTGGTCACTATAAGTAAATACTTTAATAAACATTTTCTCAGTTTGCACAAAATGATTCATAATTTTGTTTTAAACAATGTAGATAAGTGATTTCTTATCAACAAGAAATCCAGAATTAAGACAATCCAAAAAACAACAAATAAAAAACTTATTAAGGCAAGGTGCTTAGGGTTTTTGTATTAAATTAATAACTGATCTATGAAACCATTTTATAGCCATATATTCTCTTGCTAAATCAATAATTTCTAGAGGGTTGCAAATGACTGAAATAACTAATAAGGTGCTATATGAATATTGCCATTTTCAATACAATACAGATACTCAATAATGCATTTAGGAATCAAGGGACTAACTACTCAGGGACTCATTATAACACACATTTTGTAGTCCAAATAGATATTGTTAAAAACAAAATACAGAGCACACCCAATCCAAATATTTACTTACCAACATTCCGGAAGGATGCACCCATGACAACAGTTTTGTAACCAAATTTTTTGTAGTACTTGTAGATCTTTGTCACTGACTGAACACCAGGATCTTCAGTGCCCTCATAAGTCTTCTGGTTGGTGTTTGCAACATACCAATCCAAAATACGACCAACAAATGGAGATATCAGAGTGACACCGGCTTCAGCACAAGCTACTGCTTGGCAGAAGGCAAACAGGAGTGTGAGATTGCAATGAATACCATATTTCTCCTCAAGTTCCCTAAAACAAAAATCATATTTTTAGAATATATATTAAATGATGAGGAAACTATACTCAGGTTCTTACTGGTGTTCTTTAGAAACTACTCTTATGACAATCTTAAAATTGATCAACATGAGATGAAAATTTCAATTCAATTGAAAATTAAATAAAAATTTACCAATTTGAAGAATTATACATGAATACAGTAAAATTTGCACAATGTGGAACCTCAAGGGACCAATATTTTTTCAATACTAGACAAGATTCAGCATCATGCAATGTAATACTGCAGAATTTATGTTTGGCTGGACCAAAATTTATGTTCGCATTAGGCAGATTTCTGCATAATGAAAGTTTTACACTATAAGTAATTCGTTATCTACAATAAATCATTTTGTATATATTTTGTGAAAATTGAAGATTTTTTACAACACTGTAGTTAAATAATAAATAAATGTAAAGTACATTCATGGGGAAAAAAGCAAAAAAATGTTCACTTACTTTGCAGCCTGTATACCCTCCCAGGTGGAAGCCAATTTTATAAGAATTCTATCTTTAGAAATTCCATGTTCGTCATATAATTCAATCAACCTCCTAGCTTTCTTTATACTGGCTTCTTTATTAAATGATAGTCTGGAAAATAAACAAACACATTAAGCACTATAAACAATTTTTATTTAAAAGCAAATTTTTTTGTTCATATATATTATTTTCTCGGTTTTGATTATTTGCACTGAACCCAGAAAGTGGGCCAGATCATGACCGCCTCAGGCTACAACACTTGGAGGAGAGTGCAACAAACTCACTTTCATTTCACAACTAGGCCACAAGTTTCTCTTCAGCATCTCTGCTTATATGTAGCAACTCCCCTCCACTTTCTAAACTATAGGAAACAGTACCTTGCATCAACTTCAGTTGAAACTCTTCCTGGGATGATTTTCAAAATTTCAGTTCCAAACAACACACAGAGTTTGTCAGCAGCAGCTTGTAGTTGTTCATCCAAGTTACTGAAAAGTTAAATATATAATATTAATAAGCATTACACATGATGAAATTATTTTATTTTCTTTTCTTTCCTTCTCACACCCAGTGTACTCGACACCAATAAAATTAATTTAATGAACATAAAAATATAACACTAAGCACAAATCTTTCTTCAGATACATGGTGCTTGATGAAGCACCATTAGTTATTTCTGAATTGTTTGAACTCAGAACGAGAGGTCAAGGGCATGCCATAGTTAATTCAAAATAATTTTCTTGGTTAAAAGGATAAAACAAAAAACAATACTACTTCCACTTTTCAGTGTAATTAAATAAAAGATGTATGATAAAAACTCTAGGACCAAAATTATACTTACTTTCCAGATTTAATACCATATTCTACAGCCTTTTCAATAAGGTGCTTATATTGGGGCATGTTAGCGGCGGATAACATGAGAGAAGGGTTCGTGGTGGCATCGGTGGGTTTGTACTGCTTCATTGCTGGTTAAAAATAATTTTATTAGTATTTTCAAACACTTTATGATCATTTCATTTATTAAAACACCGCAAATCATTATTTCCAAAAGGCATATGCAAAATAGCTAGCCGGGTGATATCGCAGTTTTCAGTCACCTTGACTGTCAGCAGCCTTGACCTTAGTGAAACTCACGTGGACAAAATGCATATTTTTACTCTGGTTGTCAGGCAGTAATGAATGTCAATACAGAACACATGCAAAATTAAATCTGACCACTTCGATAAGTAATTAGTGCAATTAATTAGGCGACATTAATTTATGTGTACACTGCCCTCTGTATACCAGCCGGTTAACTATTTCTCATGCACACACAGCAAACTCAGTCACTTATTTTCTTGAACATTCTTACCTTCAAAATCACCTGTATCGGCAACTACAGTCGTAAAAGTTTTCAACTGCGAAAGCGCCGATAATTTCGTTTTCTTGTTTTGTGGTTCATTTCCAGCCATGGTGGTAGTATTTATTATCAAATAATTTTCGTATTAACACGACCCAATTCTCTTCTCTGAACACTATATTCACGACTAAGATTTCTTCTAATTTTACACTTTACACCTACAATATAATAATTATTTATCCACACTTTGGGCTCATCTGATTTACGTTCATCAGCAACACAACACCCACACCACTTACACTTGTTCTGCCACACTTCACTTTGGCCACTTGCGCGGTTGCGGGCTTGAGTTGTGTTGGAATAAGGTTATCACCTCTCCGACCGACCAATCCCGTGTCCCAGCGAGTCCTGCCTCGAAGTCTTGGAGGGGAAATTGAGCACGCACGAACCAAATGCAGCGATTCTAGCGCACTCAACGCACGATGTGTGCACTCACAGAGGCATGTGTTGTTCAGTTCAAAGTCTCGCCTGAGCTGATGGAATTTTAGAATCTTTTTAGTTTATAACAACATAATTCTAGAATATAAAACGAATTATTTTGATATCGAATGTTCAGGTATTAATATTTTAAACAGATCTGTGAATTTCATAATACTTTCATTGGTTAGTTAATATTAATAAGATAATCATGCATATTTACTTCTACTTTCGTTTCATATCACGTCATTTCATTCACTCTTCACGCGCTCTTCACGAGTTCAACTTAAAAAAAGCTGAACTCATAATTTCTCTACTAACTCAATAAGCAAGGAGCAGGGCCGGATTTACATACTATGGGTTCCCGGGCCCAAAATCGAGTTGGGACTCTCTCAGGAAAAAACAACAACTAGATTTACTTAAAAAGAAACAAACAACAACGCTAATTATAATAGCACAATTTTTTGTATTAACTTTACAGTACAGTAAAAAGCTCTACAGTTTAACATTATTAACAATGTTTTGATTATTACGTTGCAAGTAATTGATGGTGTTACAATATCCTTAAATAGAACGGGCTTCCTCGTAGTAAATAAAGCGGCATAAGTTTGTGTTAACTACGGATGAGATATTCTTCTCCTCAAATTCACAAACATGAGAGCAAAGAGAAAAGAGTCCTCGATGATGAGAGTATTGTGACAGTATAACGAGAGATTGTATTACTGTGATTGTTAAAGCTTAGAAGCAAAATTTCCGCACCTCTCCGTATTTAATAACCAATAAGCATTAAGGGCTTAAGTGACGCGAGGAAGAGGACATTATAAAAGTATCACGTAAATAATTCGATTGCAATAAGTAAATAGCAAAATTTTGAGACGCAATTTTATAGTAGTGTTCCTAATGAGTATTGTCAAGTCACCAGGTGCTCGAAAGGTCGAATTCAAGAAAAAAAATTCGGAGGTTTCTTCTCATCGATTTTGTACGTTTTTTTGGGTACTGAATTTAAATTTGAAGTTTACCATCTCGAGAAATCTCGGCTTCACAAAGAAAATTGCAAGAAGCCATAAAACTGACGAACTTTTTTCAGTTTTTGCTTATATTTTGACAGCTCTTTATCGAAACGATCTTCATACACAAAATTAAAGTAAACAAAATTCTCGACAAAAGTGTGCATTTACTTAAGTTTTTCTATACTTCTTTCAGGTTCTAGAGCGCGCTGAAGTACGGCTACTTTTCGGCCCTCAGACCAAACCGGGAGAAAAGCCTTCTCCCACCCTATTATCTTGCGGTGGCGCTCTAATTTCACTACATGAAACTAGAAAACGTTTATGAGAATGGATTATTTGCATTGTGAAACGATTAACTCTTCGTATTAGCAGAATCAGCAGGAACGCGTTCACTCGAACGGGGTATTTGTGTAACCCTGTCTTAGATAACTCATCATTATGGAAACGATAGAAAAGAGAAGAGACAATATGTTCAGTAGAATACAATACATTCGTATTCATTTATTCTTCACTTCACCATTCATTTCTTTAGCAAGAACTTACCTTTACACCATACTTTAGAATTAAAATCTATTAGCATCACATTCAGTATTGAGCAATTTTAGGAAAATTAAATAACATAACAGAAAATGTTAAATAAAATATTAACAGAAAGTCCCAATGAACACAATGATTTGGTGGTAATATTTGGGTAATTTTGGTGGTAACACTATTATTTGTGGTAATATTTATATTAAGGAAAGTATCTCATCAGATTGTTTTATCGGTAACGTAGAGGAACGTGGTTATTGATATGAAAGTTCGTAATTTATCGTACATAATCGATAGGAACGTTTTATTATTATTATTATTATTATTATTATTATTATTATTAAAATTTAAAAAGCGCAAGATTAGCAACATTTGAAAAAAATAGACATTTTTCGCTCCAGAATTAAAGAAAACTTATTTGCATTGGTGAAAGAATTGCAAAATTGATTGTTTTGCTTTTCTTACAAAAGAGTAACACATCCCCAACTCTACTCCTAGCCAGCGAGATAGAATATACTAGATATATTCTAGCTCGTTGCTCCCACCACTACAAGCAGAAGGAGAGCTCAACAAAATGTACGCATAGTGAAGCTACATTATTCTTATTGTACAGTGCAATACAATAATATTCATATTGTGTAGTACATAGCGAAGTTAAATTATTCTTATCACTCTTCTTATTTTGATCTTCTTGAACAATTTACGAATAATTCTGCAATTTGCTAATGCTAACAAAAAACACTGAATTAAATAAAAATATTATTTATTAAATAATTATGAGTGGCGCTACAACAGCAGGCATACATAGTTTCATGCATTACATGCATTATTTGTAACACTGGCAATTTTCGAAAATTCAGAGAGTTGAACAAAACTCAGACCTGCACAAATACGCTTATAAAAAATAACTTTCTCGCAATATTACAATGTTCTCGTTATGTACAACGGGACGCCCACATATGCTTTATTAATTTCAAACAGAAATTACGCGAAAACCACTAACGTTTACAAAAACCAAATGTTCATGACGTTTTTTAAATATATTATTTTGTACAACAAACTTTGTTTGAGGTAAAAATTTATATCTTACATGTTGTAGTTTTGAATTTTCTTTTGTAGTTTTCGAAAAAAAGAGCAATACCCGAAAATGAGATAGCACCATATTTTAGCGTCCCCTATGACATACGTGGAGAATATTTAAAGAAGAAATTCGGAGAGAAAATTTTTGAGAATTTTGTCTTGTAAATTTCAATTGCAAATTATGCAAAAACCACTGGCTTTTGCAAAAAATGTACACGACATTTTTTCAAGAGCTAATTTTGTACAACAAACTTAGTTTGAGGCAAAAATATATATCACCAATTTTGTAGTACTAAAATGCTTTTTTTAAATTAAAAAAAGGAGTAATACCCGGAAATATGATTACCACCATATTTTTTATTGTCTCTTATTACATAAGTGAATAAAATTTAAAGAAAAAATTTGGAGCTGTTTTTACGATAAAAAAATCGTACAATTCATTTGAAAATAACGCAAAAACTACTCGTTTTTCAAAAAAAAAATGTACATGACCTTTTTAAATAGCTAATTTTGTACAACAGATTTTGTCTGGGACAAAAACCTTTATCTCCAATTTTGAAGTTTTCATATTTTACCATTTTTCGAAAAATTTGAGATGTCAACAAAAATCAGACCTTCACCATTCTCTTAAATGTGTCCTTTGCAAAAATCAAGAAAAAACTTAATTAAAAAGTTGGAACCATGTTTTTGAAAATCCTGAATATGTTAGACTTTACAACGATTAAGGAATATCAATTTTGAAGAAAATCGTCGGAGCGGTTTATGCGCTAGAGTTGTGCACAGACGGACTGATAGACGTTTTCCCGTCAATCGATCTTTCGGTATCAAGACCCACAAAACATGGATTTTTTCTACACCACGTGTTAAAGAATTTTTTTCTATATTTAGCAACTGGATGTATCCACTTTTTTCCTGACCAGGGCCCGGCAATAAGAGTTTTTGTGTCGAAAATGCGCCCTTTTCGTCGCACGACTTCAATACTTTCTCTTCTTTTGTGCGAAAACGACTAATATTTGAAAAAAACATGTACTACTTTACTGAAAGCACTAATTGTGAATAAGATATTTCATAAAAAAAATCTTCAATATTGTAATTGTAGGAAAACGCCGAGAAAAATTAACTTTTGAAATATTCGAAAATTTAGATTTCAATTAAAGTGGATATGCGCCGTTCTATTACCACATGTATTTTGCTCTGTCTGAGGGGTTAAATGGAACTAAATAAAATATCAATTTCATAAAAAATTTTTTTTATCAAGGATCCACAAAACGTAAATTCTGAAGTTTGAAAGACATTATTATTATTATTATTATTATTATTATTATTATTATTATTATTATTATTATTATTATTATTATTATTAGAATTTGTATGTGTAGGAACAAAAAATATCCACTTTTTCCATATCAGAAATCCACACTGCAAATTATTTTTATATTTACTATTATAAATTATTTGTTTATTATTAATTATTAGCTTCAAAACCTGCTAAGTTCAAGCATGTATTTTGAAGTGAAGTAATAAAACAAAATAATTATTGAATATATCAAAAGCATTCAAATGAATAATGATTCGCTCTAGGCATCGATATCTTTTTTACAATTTCTAAGAATAAATCATTTTTTGGTTTTACTGAGCGATTAATTTGGTATAAACATACAAACGCAATGTTAATCTTTATAAGAATTTCTTGCTTTGTTAACATTTTATTGCCGTTTGAAGTAGAATCGCAAATAAGATTGTAGCTGTTGCCCGGTGACAAGACATGGCATAAGCGATGGTTGATTATTTTAATAAATTGCTTCCGCATTTTAATGCGTAAATGTAAATATAAAAATTGAAAAACAAGATTACCATGCAAATCAGGAATAAAAATGTGATACCAAAGTTAAACAAAATGTTCAAATCACTATATATACCAAAAAAGAAGCAACCGTAAGTCAAGATGAAGAACATAAATCGAGATTTTATTTCACAACGAAGCTAAACTATGTTCGGAAATGCTCATGTCAGACTTCCTCTGCACAAAAGGTGATATAAATCCTTAGTTTAAGAGAATTTATAAATTCAAACATGGATTGCAAATAAGGCAAGTCCCGAAGATATTAAGTTCGCAATGGTTAAAAATAAACTCTCAATGGAAGTACACGTTTAAGAAGCAAATTTGGAAATAACTACGAAATAATTTACGAATTTCATGAAAAGCATATTCCATTTCGAGCAAATGATTCTTTAGCATGACTAGGAAAACACACATTAAATAAGTAGGACGTATTGTGTATGCACCTGCTCAGCACAGCATCTCCGTCTGAGCCAAGAGCACGTTTCTCACCTCCCTCTCGCGAGTCGTCGTGCCACCGTTTCTCTTATCAGCTGAAGTTCGCGTAAACACACGATGAGCGATCCGAAGAGCGACGATGGCGCGGCGGCGGCCGGCGACCAAACCAGAACGAGCGGCCCCTCCGGCGGGAGGCCCTCGTCTGGCAGATCTGGCAGGACTAGCAGACCGAGCTCAAGCAAGCGCAAGAGCAAGAAGGGCCCGCCCATCAACCCGGACGCCTGCCCGGAACCGAGGGCGGCCATTTGCGACGACCCAGAAGCCCGCCCGCCCAGACCGCCCCCGCCCAGAAAGTCTTCCGCCTTCATCGAGTTCATCCGGCGAATCACCGGCAGACGGCGAAAGATTCATAAGATTTGCGATTGCAAATCGAAGACTCGCATCGGGGACACGCTCACGGAGCTGTACGACGAAGACGACGAAATCTACGAGATGGCATCGCTGCACATGCAGGAGCTTCTCAGGAAGAAACGAGACGGCGGAGAGTTGACGGAAGATGACCTCTATTGGTTTGCTGAAAATGTGGCGAAGGACCGCATTGAAGAATGTCAGATCGGTAAGTGATAGTACTAGCTACACCCGTACCATTTTTTCCAGGCAAATGTATTATCGAAAGGGTTCACATATAATGTATGAACATTACACCCACTTTGTGATAATTATTAATTTATTTAGAAGAAAATTGAACTTTTTAATTAAGCAGTCAAAAATACCTTCACTGATAGCAAAATATTTTAATAAAATTAAAATAAATTTGTGATTGTATGTAACAGTTGAATTTATTAATAATTTTTCATTATCTAATATTTTTTTAAATTCAGCTATTAGATGTTTTTCCAAGTACTTGGTTTGAAGCGCTTATGAAAATAAATAAATTTTTTGAAAAACTTCCTCACCTTATCAAACGTATGAAAACATCCAATGTTTAGGTGTAGGTATGTATTTTCGTTTTCTTAATTTATTTTGGTTTTAATTAAGGTCTTTTATTCAAATAATTTAATTGAAATTATAATTGAAAAAAAACAACATTTTTTATCTAAATGAAATAATCATTTTGGGTAGTGGGTGTAATGTTAACACACTATTTGAGTGTCAACAAAAATATTTTATTTGAAAATTGTATATTCGGGATGCATAGATTTTCATTTAATTTATTAATGTAAAAAACAGTGAAAATGGTAAAAAAACTATATGTGAAGATCCAAGAGGGGAGATAAATGTACTGTTCAGAAGCCAAAGGAAGACTTATGTGAAAATATTTACGATGAAAATGTTCTTTCAATAATTGATGTGCTTTCAAAGAGGTTGTACGTAGTCCTACTAGACAAGCTTGGTCGTTTCCGGGGGATGCTTTTTACGTCACCTGCAGGGAGAATGCTGGCCGTTACAGAAAACAATAATTTACAAGCCATTTGTCTTCAGACATGTTGAGCTTATAGCGGAATACTACTTTATAATGTTTGGATTGACGGTAATAATAATAATAATATAATAA